GGATGTGGAGGTCGTGGAAGAGGAAGAAGTTATAATAACAAATTCAACAATCCATTGTTACTCTCTCGACTTGTGAAGCTGAATACGTGGCAACGACATCATGTATTTGTCATGCTATTTGGCTAAGAAGATTGCTGAAGGAGCTTAACTTGCCACATAGTGATGCCATAATGATTTGTGTTGATAGCAAATCTGCGCAAGCACTTGCAATGAATCCAGTGTATCATGACCGAAGCAAAGCACATAGACACAATGTATCACTTTATTAGAGAATGCATTGCCAAGAAAGAGGTAGAGCTCAAGTATGTGAAATTTCCTGATCAAGTTATGGATATCTTTGCAAACCCTCTTATGTTTGAAGATTTTCAGATATTGAGATCAAGCCTGGGAATAAAGAAAATCAAAACTAAGGGATAGATTTGTGGGATCAAAGTGTCGCAGCCACACTTATGGAAATTAACAACCAAAGTTTGTGAAAGTTGGCAGCCACAAATGTGAAAGTTGGCAGTCACATTTGTGGAAGTTGGTAGTTAAATTTTGGTGGAGTTTGGCAGCCAAACTTTGTGGAATTTGGCTGCCACATAGAGGTTTAGTAACTCTATAAATAGAGTACTAACTTAATATTTGAAAACACACCAAATAGAGAGATTAATCCACAAGCTATTAGTTAGTTTGTGAGAAAATAGTGTAAGAGTAATATTATTGTGAGTTGTAAGAAATAAAAGAGTGTTGTTTGTTAGAATGGGAATAAGAATAGTAAATAGTATCCTACTTGGTAAAAAATTGTATTGTAGTGTCTATAAATAGGGCATTTGTGTAATAATGTAGATACAACACAATTCAATAATATTCTTCTCTTATATATCTCATGGTATCAGAGTCGGCCCTATCCCAATTTGTTGTTCACTGATGTTGGGCCCCCATTTATAAGTGTTCACGGTCCAGTTGATGTTTGGGCATGCGGGGGAGTGTTAAGAAGTCCCACATCGGTAGAGGGATGAAAATTTTCTCTCCATATATGGACTTGGACAAACCTCCCCTCATGAGCTAGCTTTTGGGAAGTGAGTTAGGCCCAAGACCTAATTTCACATATCTTTTCAGTGACTACTTTCTCATATCTAATTTGTGTAGCACCTTGCTATCTTTTCGGGGACTACTTTTTCATATCTAATTTGTGTATCACCGTGCCATCTTTTCGGTGACTACTTTTTCATATTTTATTTGTGTAGACTTGTGTCATCCTTTCGATGACTACTTTTTTTGCAGTTCTGATTTCCGTAGCACCGTGTATTTCTCCGAACTACTTTTCATATTTAATTTGCGTAGTTTCGTTGATTTTTTCCGAACTACTTTCTCATATTTGAGTTGCATAACACTGTGTCTTTTTGGTGACTCTTTAGATTTGATTTGCGCAGTTCCATTCGTCTTTCCGATGACTCCTCAAATATGACTTACGTAGGGTTGTGCCATCATTCCAACCCTACTCATATTATTTCTCTTTTTCAATAGGGTCATTCCGTCAATCTGACCTTTTCTATATAATTTCTATTTTCCAGTTGGCTCGTGCCATCATTTCGATTCTATCCATATAATTTTATTTCTAAAACTGTGACCACTTTCAACCATCAAATCTAATACTCCTGCGTCTGAGCATGTTCTTGCCAGTTTTTTTGTGACTTTCTTATTTAATATCAACTTGTCTATTGTCTCCAACATGATCTATATACTTTATACTAGATTTTGAGCACTTTCCAGCGACCGCTACATTGTGAAGTCTATATGGAGCAACCACTTAATTTTGTTGCACAGGGGGAGTTTAATAGACTTGTATGTCAATTACGTAAGTCACTCTTTGCAAGCTTGGTTTGGGAAGTTCAACACTATAATTTTATTACTGTGTGATTTGTCGACATTATTCATCAAATTCAGTATTTCATGAGAAGACCAAACACATTGAGATTGTCTGGCATTATGCATCAAATTCAGTATTTTATGAGAAGACTAAGCACGTTGAGATTGACTGCCAATTTTGTGAAGTCAAGTGATCAACTTGTAGATATCTCACCAAGTCCCTCATCGATCCTCGTATTAATTACATTTGTAACAAGCTATGTACATATGATTTGTATGCACTAGCTTGATGGGGAGTGTTAGAATATGAATAGGTATATGCAATTCTACTTGGTAGGAATAGGAATAGGAATAGCAATAGGAATAGTAAATAGTATCCTACATGGTAAAGAATTGAATTGTAGTGTCTACACATAGGGTCTTTGTGTAATAATGTAGACACAACACAATTCAATAATAATTTTTTCCTATGTTTCTCACATTGTTCTTATAAAAGAGTTGTCGTCTTTTGATACTACCAAATTGTCATCGGTGTTATTGTATTATTTATTTGGGTATCTATCATATTAACCCCATTATAATATTTGGTGTTGTTGTAATTCTCTTGTTATTGCTATTTAGTGTGGATATTATCATGGGTGGGATGATCATTTTCCCAAGTGGTATTCGAATCCATGTAAAGATATTCATGGAGGCAACGCGTAAATCCATTATCTTGAAAGTACTTGTCAATGCGATTATTCTATGCTTGTGGAGCTTGCTTCAATCCATATAAGGCTTTCTTCAACCTCAACAACTTATCTTCATGATTTTTTACCACAAACCCCAATGGTTGTTTAACATAGACTTCCTATTCAAGATATCTATTTAAGAATGTCGATTTGACATCTAGTTGATGGATTTTCCACTTCATTTGTGCCACCAAAGAGATCTCCATGTGGGCAACAGGTTCATAGACTTTATCGTAGTCGATGCCATGTCTTTTCTTGTAGCCTTTAGCCACAAGTCTTGCCTTGTATCTCTCCACCTCTCAATGAGTATTTTTCTTCGCCTTGTATACCCATTTGACTCCAATTGCTCGATGATCCTTAGGATGAGTTGTTAACTCCTAAGTGTTGTTTTTCTCTATTGACTGGATCTCCTCCTCCTCGGCTTGTCTCCACCTTTTGTCAGTAACAACTTCATCAAAATTCATTGGTTCACTATCAGCAAACGAGATAGGGAAGGATTCCTAGTGCAACCTCATCAAAGCTTGAAGGTTCTTTGAGTCTCCTCCCACTGTCCTTACCCCTGGTCTTGCCTCCATTGTACATATCCTTGATTGCCCTTGTGTACGCCACAACCCACAGGTACACCTCTAGCCCCCAAGCACTCTCATAGAACCCCCCAGACTTTGTCATAAGCCTTTTCTAGGTTGATGAATACCATGTGTAAGTCCTTCCTTTCTCTATACTGCTCCACCAGTCTCCTTACGAGATGAATGCCTTTTGTAGTTGAGCGCCCGATATGAATCTGAATTGGTTCTCGAAAATTACCACACCTTTTTCTCTATACTGCTCCACCAGTCTTCTTACGAGATGAATGCCTTTTGTAGTTGAGCGGCCGACATGAATCTGAATTGGTTCTCGAAAATAGCCACCCCTCCTCACCCTCATCTCCACCACCATTTCCCACAGAATGCTCAGTCGTTTTACATCCACAAGAGACCTACGTGTTTTGTACATTAAACTGCATGGGAAACTTGTCATTTGAGAACCTTTTCATGAAGATTTTTAGTTTCAAAATCATGTGGCATGTTCTTCACTGCGTTCGTTTCTGCTTGCATCATTATGTGTTGGTAGTTTACAAATGACAAGTTGTTGTCATCAATGTTGTATGTGATTGAACCCTAAGTTGTTTGGACTCTTCACTTTTGGTGCCGCACCCGTGTCGACACGATGGGTGTGGGTGTGGGTGTGGGATCCGTGTCTGATTCGGTCAACCACTTTTGGGTACTTTGACCAAAATCGATGGGGATAGTCTCGACAATTTTAATGATTTATGTAATCGATACAAAATATAAGGTGAAATTGAAGGAAATGGAATACCTTTTATTTAGAAATTTCCATGTCACTCCTTTTCCTTTGATTTCCTTCCAGGATTCTCCTTAAGTTCTCCACATAATATTTCATGATTTAGGTTTTATAACTCTATTTTTAGATATTTTAATTATTTTTAGGTGAATCCCCGCACCCGTATACATACATGATCCATATCCCCGAATCTTAAAAATTAGATCATGAAGGATCCGACCTTTAGATCCTCACCCGTATCGGAAACCCGCACCCGAGTTCGAGCAACTTAGATTGGACCTATCTAAAAGAAAATTCACTGTTGCATGTGATTGCCAACAAGGCCCTGTCTTACCATTGTGTTCAGAAAGAAGAGAAGTTTGTGTGGCGAAGGTCAAATAACGATAGGAACTTGGGGAAGAAAAAGAGGGAAGAAAATTATCAAATGAAACACAACCTTTTGGAGTTGCCATGTCCCTATTTGTGACACTGATACTATTCATATGGAAATTACTAAATAGTACCCTGAAACATAATTTGGCCATGCTCTTCTGTGCAAGTTGTCTTTAGTACATTTCAGAGTTTCAGGGAAGCTCTTTATGTACCTATTTTTTGTGATCATGTAAGAACAATATTCATTAATGAGATAGACTTATTTGAGAAGTATTTTAAAATCTTCTGGTGATAGTGAGCAATTGCTTGAACCTCAAATGAAACAATGTAGTGTCACTTCATTTATTGATCTTCGTTTTTACAGATTCAGTGTTGGAACTGAAAACCTCAAAAGTTTTAGCTGAATACCTATTTGAGAAAGAAAAGCTTGGAGCCTCAAAAGAAACAATGTTAAGTCACTTAATCTGTTGATTTCATTTTTATAATGGTGATCTGGTTCATATTAATTGATTTAAGTATGTGGGTGTTCAGTGGGAATTATGTGCTCCAAATTGGCAGGAGTACCAGTAGATACTACTTGTCGAATAGCTTACAGATTGTATCTTATTGCTTTATTTATTTTGATAAGTAAATCTTATTGCTGAATCCCTTATCTAGTTTAGATCATGAAATTACTTTTCTTCTTTTTTCTTTTCTGTTGTACAGCATCACAGTGTTTTATTTTGTCAAGGAAGAGCCTCATTGCAGATTTGTTCCAATATATCCCCATGTCCATGTACCTATAACAGTTCCTTTCCAGAGAGGACTTGGACAGAAATTTCGTCAGCCTTTTGGGACAGGCATTGACTTGAGTTTCTTTGAAATGGACGATCTTCCCGAACTATCATCAGAAGACAGTGTGTTTCCCCTTGTAATAACTGCTACAACCTGCCTTCCATCTGTTTTAACAGAGGATCATATTAGTGATACTCAGCCTAAAACATCCCTCCATATGCAAATTAGTCAAGCTGTATTGGAGAAGGATCATGAAGGGACTTTCAAAGTGAGAATCATCAGGCAGATTTTATGGGTTGATAATGTTCGCTACGAGCTGCATGAGATATATGGAATTGGAAACTCTGGCCCAGATTATGAGAACAATGGCTCAGGCAAGGAGTGTGTAATATGCATGACCGAACCCAAAGATACAGCAGTTCTTCCATGCCGCCATATGGTAAGAACCACTAATGCAGTCCAGCTTTTTTGTTAAGTACTGACTAATGAGTCGTCTTCCACTGCATGAGTTGCATTTTACATTTGATCGTCTCTCCAGTGCTCTGATGGTTTCTGTTTTCTGCCTTCAACATTTTGGCTGCTTAATTTATTAATAACTTTTTCCTGTTCTCCAGTGCATGTGCAGTGGATGTGCAAACACATTGAGACTTCAGTCAAACCGATGCCCAATTTGTCGACAACCATTTGAAGAGCTCTTAGAGATCAGGATTAATAATGGCGCTATTGATGAGTGAGCATTTTCTTGCAGAAACAAAGTAGCAATCCTAATCTCATCATACGTGTCTTCTGTTTTGATTTCGTAAATGTTTGCCCCTATATATTTTGTAGATCTTCATATGGCCAATCAACCACTTTTTCTTGGCCAACTATTTTTTTCGTTTACTCGTGTTATATTGCAATGTAAATATAAACCTAGTCCAAAATGGTCTGGATGAGTTTGTTTCACTGCACTGGAAGTATGGTGCATGAACACATTCCATGTATGTTTGATCTCTGACTAAAGCTTTTAACATTATTGCTTACCTTTCCAAATGTCCTATTTTTGAATCCATTGCTTGCAGATTCAGTTATTTGGTAACCTTTTAGGCCTTTTTTCCTTGGTCAAGATCACAAAAGATGGCTATTCAAAATCAAGAAAGTCACAAGGATAACTTTGAACATTCTGGACACATTTTTTTTACTTTTTTTCTTTCTCTTAGAAACAGCCAAAAAGGTTGGTCTGTGGGAGAATATTTGGCATGGAAGATAGCAGTAAGCAAGACAAACTTGAGCAGCATCCCCAAAAAGTCTGAAAGTGAGAAGATAAACAGTAACATTTATAGCTTTTTTGTATGTTAGTTACAAACTTTGTACATATGCACTGGCTTTTCTCTTTGGGGACCATACATAGTTTTTTGAGTCTTGAACATTACACTTCTCTGCTTGCTTGATTCAGTGTTTCGAGTCTTGAAGATGACACTTCTGCATCATTGATTGTGTTTTCATTTCTCTTCTCTCTTTTTTCCCCCATTTTTCTCTTTCATACATCATATCTTACATTTTGAAGCTCAAGTTGGAGAAATTTCAAGAGCATTTTGTCGGTTGTTTCAATCATTTCTTCCATTCCCCTTTCTTTATTACTCTCGTTTTATATTTGACTTACTTTCATATATAAGTAATTTTTTTAAAAAAACTGGCTTTTTCTTTTTTTCGGCAACTATTTAATTTAAACTTTTCACATTGACATGTTTAAGACCACGAGGAAAAATTAGAAAAGTAAATTGAAGTGGAGGGTGTATGATGGATCAAATCATCTACATTTCTACTTTCTTTTTGGGATTTAATGCACTTCATTATGCTGTTTGGTAGTGCCATGCACTCTATTTTGTTTTATGGAGTTATCACATCCATGACAATCTTCTTCACAAAATGTTTGATGATCTTTCAACTTTTTGTTTCTTCTAAAAAGCCTATATAAACCACCTCCTTTTTAAAAAAATCTAATATGTATATCCTTTAGCCCAAATTAATCCAAATAATAAAGGAACACCAAAGCCTACTAAAGATAAAAATAAAATAAAAAATCTTTGGTCAAATTTATTCTAAAAATTTATAACCATGGTTTTGTTCATATGAAGGAGTGAGAGTTAGGGGGGGCGTGGGGTGTATAGTGTTATTGTTGGTATGAGTGTGAAAAGGTGGAAAAAAATTTAGTCACTAGTACAATTTCTTTTGGCGGCAACTATATAGTGACAGAGTGATAATTTCATCATATTCCTTTGACAAAATTCTATTGTCCTGAGTGATATACTGTACAATCCACAAATCTACATCTTTTAGGATATCATGTCATTCAAGATTAGATCAGACATGGTGTAGTCACACCTCATCGAGGATATGATTTTAAATAGGAAGATATGGAGGACATGAATTATGCTAGAAGGATAGTAAGAAGGAGTGTGTCCATACTAGTAGGTTATAGTGTATGAACTTGTTGTCCATTCTAGTAGTCATAGTATTACTCTTGCTTATTGTTCTTCGAGTTATGTTATTATATGTTGTTTGTTTAATTATAATATTATTCTTGTTACTATCTATTGTTTAATTAATGTATATTGCTTTTATTGGGATAAGGGACTAAAAAATACCCAACTTTTGTCAAATTTGTTGTTGCGATACTAAACTTTCATGAGGACCTATTACCTCCCTAGACTATTTAATATCGTATTTTTTTACACCCTGAACTATATAATAAAGGTATATATGTGCTCACATGGACACATTACTAATTATAATTTTGCATTATTTTTAAAAAAATACGATATTAAATAGTCTAGGAAGGTAATAGGTCCTCATGAAAGTTTAGTATCGCAACAGCAAATTCGATCAAAGTTGAGATATTTTTCAGACCCTTATCCTTTTTTTATTAGATTACATCTTTATCTAGATTGTTTTATCTTGAGCACGAGATCTATCAAAAACAACCGCTCTATTTTTGAAATAGTGATCAGATTTACATACATTTTATCCTCCATAGTGTTAAATGATGATTTCGAACTAAGATAGATGGATACATTGACCAAGGAAGCTAAAAATCTTAGTTTGAAAAAAAGATGTAACTCCCCACAAGCTAAGTTATTTGGACAATTGTTCAACATCGCCATAATTAATAGTTTGAGCATGTAATCAACTTTTCGAGACAAGTTCAAAGTCCATCCATTTGATGTCTTCTCCCAACCATATTAAAGCATAATATATACTCCTACTTATTTATTTTATTACAAGAAACACAAAATAGATATATGTAGATGAGTAGGGAGGTTAATAAAAATAATGTAATAGCAGTGACATCCAAAATGCCAACTATTTGAAAGTTGACAGATAACTGAAGGGATCACTTGACCTACAGAGGGAATTGGACCAGCCCCCTACCCCCTCCCCCACCCCCACCTCTCCCTCTTTTCTTGTGCTACCAATTATTTTTCATCCTTACAGATTCCTTTTCTGCCTGCAATAAAATTCATATTATCTGTTTTTGACTTTTAGCTTTAACATCTTTTCTAGTTTTCTAAAATATTGTTGATGTTTATGTGTGAACATTCTGGGGGGAGTTTCACTTACACAAGTCTTTACTAATCTTGGATCTATATACTGTCAATTTACATACTCCTATATTATGTAGGGACCCCCTCAAATTATATAACTTTACCACTTCAATTCTTTTGGCTATTACTTTTATTTTATACATACTTTCTTATTTAATTTACTTCAATTCAAAATTCCCACTAAAGAAAAAGGTAATATTGTATATAGAAACCTATAGTAATAATATGAGTATTAAACAAACTTCACTTTCATATATTTTCGATAATGTGTGTTATATGCACGACATACAAATTATGCAGACTTTGTCTCTATTTTTGTAGGATAGAGAGACTGTTGTTGATATACGCTCGGCTCAACAGACAACAAAACAGTCTTGTCATCCCTTCAAATGAGAAACAAAAAATAGGACTATTAATAGTTTGGATTGTTGAATAGAATTTGGATAGTAATTTATTTGGTAGAACTCATAAATGATGCAATATTCGATTCTCACCAAATCATTTTCTTTCACTGCTGAGATTCCGACCCACACACTAGACCAATAGGTATTTGATCAAGTCAAAATGAGATTTAATATCAGCTTGACACTTTCTAGTTATGGAAGCATATATTGATTGAGATAATATCTCATAGGGTCATTTAATTAAGGACAATTCTCTTAGAAAGTCATTGAATTTTGTTTGATAACCTAAAATGGAAGTCAGTCAAACAAAATATTTAACGTTTCACTCTTACAATATATTTTTGTTACACACACTTCACACCCCACTAACAAGAGTTGGAATGATTCATCTTTTAGCAAATGTCTAGATTTCGAGTCATAAGTATAGGTTGATTCATCTTTTATTTATTAGAGATCAATTTACCCCCTAATGCATATATGGGCATTCTAGCGCGAATGCAAATTTAGTTTGACCTCGATACGGATACCAAACAAAAAGAAAGTACTCCCACCCCCACCTCCCAACTCACACACACTTCCAACCCCCTTGGTTCACTTTAATTCCTATTGGCTGGGGTCCTCTTTACCTAGCTAGTCTTGAGTGTTGACTCTATCTAGGAGCATGCATAAGAAACCCTAATGCAAGTATAGGCACATTTTTTAAACAAGTATGAATATTATGAATGTTCCTTGGAGCAGTAAAAGAAGATGCCACTTTGGTGATGGAATTTTATAGAGACTGTGAAAGGCCACGTGATGAGTATTGAATGTTTTGATTACAAAAGAATGTATAAACATGGGATGTGAGTATACATCTCTTGCATTAATATGTTACCCAATATATTCTCATCAATCACAATCTCTTTTGACCATGTGGTGTACATCATGTATTACTTTAATCCTAACCCTATGACAATAACAGTTTTTAGCGACAATAAATATAAACACATTAATAAAAAATGTTAAAGTCTTTACCAACATTAGTTAATTGTCATTGTATTCAGAATTTAATATTTATACATATTTTATAAATTTCTTAACCCATAATTAATGTACTAAAACTCCTATACATGCTTTAAAAAAAAACTTATTATTACAGTAATATTATTGCTGGCATACGAAGATGGTTAAATTACCAAAGGAAGAAGGTTGATTATTTTATAGAAAGACATAACTTGAGAGGGAAAAAGTTCCAAAAAAGAATAATAATTATGTTCAATTTTAAGAACGACATCACTTTTTCCCTAATATAATGCCTCTAACAAGAATGGCATACAAGGTTTGATTAGCAAGGAAAGTGATAATTATGATATTTTCACATATAATTTGATACATTTTAATTACTCCTTGCTTTAATTTGGTGTGTTTTAATTAAGTGCAATCAGTGAAAAACGACCCTAGTGATTCTAATTGTGGTGTTTTATATATAGTACTACTTGAGAGGAATGTTGGGTTGAGATATACATTATTAATCATGAATTTATATTATTAATCTTGTGTTTAGATATATTTCATATTTATTATAGAATTATAATTGTTTATTCAATTTTAATTAAAAAAATTAATAGATTATATATTTGTTTATGCATCAGTTTACTTATATAATAGAGTTTTAGCTAATATACCGTCTTATAAGTATAAAGATTTGTTCACAATCTAAGATGAAATCGGACAAGCCATTGGTTCGATTGTAACACAAGATTAAATATAATTTATCTTGATGTATTGAACGGAACCGAGTAGAGATGGTTGTTATAGACTAACGGACAAAAGCATATTCTCTAAATTGTTAAATGTACTTATATTCTCAATCCTGATATAACTATTATGATCTGTATCTATTAATTATAATTTTGATTTATTAAAATGTGAGATCCTGAGATGGATCAATATGTCTGGCAGATTGGATGATAATAATATATATTATAAAAGTGAAATAATAAGTTAGCTGATGGAATCCATGTTTCGATATAGAGATTGATGATACGTCTTTTTGAGAAGATTATAAATTTTTCATTGT